TCACCTACCTCAAATTCCTCATCTCTGCGCTTCCGATCTGCCATTTGTTTCATACGATTGTTGGCAGACATGAGGTGGTTTTTAAGTGCACCCAATAGTTGGTCACGCTCCTGTAATTGAACATCGATTTCTTCCACCAAGGAGGACCCTTTGTCATACTTGGGAATTACAGGTGGCGGTCGGCCGTATAAGGCTTCAAAAGGTGTCATTCCCGTGGAGGCGTGGAACGTGGTATTGTACCAGTATTCGGCCCAGGGCAATAAATCACTCCATTGTGTTGGTCTGTGTTGTATAAAGCAGCGAAGAAATTGTTCAATACACCGGTTAATGACCTCTGTCTGCCCGTCAGTTTGCGGGTGATATGCTGATGACATTCGGAGTGTAGTTCCTGAAAGTTTCCACAACTCTTTCCAGAAATGACTTAGAAAAATGGGGTCACGATCGCTAAGAATTGACCTCGGAATCCCGTGCAGGCGAACAATGCAATCCACAAACCGTTTGGCCACCAGTGCGGCAGTGTAAGGGTGTGATAGAGGAATAAGATGTGCGGACTTGCTTAGCCTATCTACCACTACCAGTATTGTAGTATGGTTGTGGGATCGAGGCAACCCATCCACAAAGTCCATTGACACATCCTCCCAGACTTGATTTGGGATGGGCAATGGTTGTAATAATCCTGCCGGCGACATCGACTGAGCCTTTGCTCGTTGACAAGTGTCACATCTTGACACATATTCTGTGACAGTCCGATGCATAGCCGGCCAATAAAATTGGTGAGACAACCGTTTCATTGTGCGTAGTATTCCCGAATGACCACCCATCGGGGTGTCATGATGTTCCCGGAGGAGCTGTGTAATGAAGATAGAGTCAGGAGGTATTACAACACGATTGTTGTAACACACCAACCCATCCCGCCATGCATACGGTTTTCCTGGGGCGGCCGTAGCTGCTGCTCCTGCCCGTGCCAAATATGGATCAGTTTGCGCTAGCTTTCTCAATTCATCCCATAATGATGCACGTGGTATAGAGATGGAATTGAGCACAGGGCTATCGGGAACGCGTGATAATGCATCTGCGGCTGCATTAGCCTTCCCAGGTCGATAGATGATCTCATAGTCATACCCCACTAGCTTCCCCATCCACTTCTGTTGCTCTGGAGTTAGTATCCGTTGTTCAAGTAGGTACCGGAGGCTACGTTGGTCGGTCTAGATGGTGAATCTGCGACCGAGGAGATATGGCCGCCATGCTCGAATCGCCACAATGATTGCTAGCATCTCGCGAGCATATGTGGACCAGTTTCTCTTTGCCACCCCCAATGTGCGGCTCATGAAAGCCACTGGTCTATCATTCTGAGAGAGAATTGCGCCAATTCCGTCTCCTGACGCATCGGTTTGAATCACAAATGGTTGAGTGAAGTCCGGTAGGGCCAAGGTCAGAGTTGTGGTCATGGCTGCCTTGAGTGCTAAAAACGCGTGTTCTGCTTCGTTGTCCCAGGTGAATTGGCCCCTTCGCAAGCGGTTCGTCAAGGGTCGTGCTATTAGGCCATAATTTTTAACAAATTTACGGTAGTAGCCTGTTAATCCCAAAAAACCCCGTAACTCGGTGATGCTTGTCGGAGCTGGCCAGTCCAACATGGCCTGGATTTTTGACTGATCCACCTTAACACCGTTTCGAGTGATGATATGACCCAAGTACTCTAGCTCCTGTTTACCAAATGCACACTTCTTGAATTTGATGGACAGCTGGTTTTGTTGCAGGATTTGGAACACTTCCCGAACATGTATCAAATGTGTCTCCCAATCTGGACTATAGATAAGGATGTCGTCAAAAAAGACAAGCACTGATTTACGCAGCAATGATCTGAAAATGGAGTTCATAAGTGCCTGAAACGTTGAGGGTGCGTTGCACAACCCAAAGGGCATTACCATATACTCGTAGTGCCCATTATGTGTTCTAAATGCAGTCTTAGCGATGTCTGGAGGGTGCATTCGAACCTGATGATACCCTGCAGTAAGATCAAGTTTGGTGAAGTAAGTCGCCCCATGTAGCTCATCTAACATGTCATCCACCGTGGGAATTGGGAATCGATCTTTAATTGTTGCCGCGTTCGGTGCCCAATAATCAGTGCAAAACCGCCACGAGCCATCTTTCTTTTTTATTCTGCTTACGTGGCCTTGTGGACCGTCTGACTGCCACTTCATCACCTTCACGGCCAGCTGGCTGTTGCTCCTCATCACTGTGGTCGTTCTGTATCAACTCCTCCGGCGGAGAGAACCTCCTCAGAGGTGTACGTTGACCTTACGATTCAGTTCCATGACACCCAGCCACGGCGCGCAGCCTTCGTACTCCGGCGTCAACAACGAAGGTCCGACGGTCTGCAACGGTGCTCGATCCGGGGTTAGTTCGTATCACTGCACAATCCCCGGCGATGCACAATTCTGGGCAAAGAAGGTAGTCCGGTGATGTAGTCCGGCGGCTCCCGTGATCTTTAGTTCTCTTGTTCCGGCGACGGCTTTGGTTTTGTTTGCTCTGTGATTATATAAACGTGGTACATATGTCTGTATGGGTGTATATTTATGTATGCATAACTGGTACGCAGGTTTTGTGTAGGGATTGCCGGTATTTATACTCACAGGAGAAGATTCTAGGCTGTAGGTTTTACACGCAGCTAGGGTTTCGCCGATCACGTGAATTTGTACACGCGTAGGGAAACTTTTAGCTATTTTCCTTATTTAGCATTACGGAGTAATAAATTATTACTCCCTCCGTTGAAAATCTTTTACATTGATTTGAGTTATTATTATTAGCTTAAAGAAAATGTGCGTGCACGAAGTTTATACTTCGTATATTACGAGGTGAATTCATATAATTAAGTATATACTTCGTATGTATCAAGTATCCATGTATCATTATAGTGTTGAAAAGTCAACATTTGCATATGTTATTATTTGTGTATATAAGTATTGCGTACATTTAGTGTGTATTTTGGTTGTGAGTGTAAAAATGCATCATTTTAATATTGTTGTACATACTTCGTATAATTTATGAATTTAGTCAACATCTCACTTTCGTCAAATGTTAAGATTTTATCTCATTGGTATTTTTATCTAGTTATTTTATTTAAATTTTTGGTGTGTCACAGACAATTAGTTAACATCTTGATATCAACTATAGTAGGATTCATCTTCTTTAATATTCTTCCTTGAGTATTAATTAATTCCTATTCATATTTCATATTAATATTTTGAGCATTACTTAAAGGATCAATTAGTTTTGTTTCATATATTAATTATTACTAGAAACGATCAACGAACCGATGGTTAATCGTTGATGGTTTCACAAGTAAGTAACTTCGGTTTATTAATGCATGGTCGTGGTTAATAAACTTAAGAGGGATTAATTTTGTTGGTTAAACCGAAACCGTTGTGTTGAGGTTATCAATCTCAATTGATTTCATCAAGGAGTTAAGAGATTAAATGCTACTATCAAGTCGGTATATGACAGTGTTCTATACTTGACTAATAGTAAGGGTTATTAATGAACGGTCGTTGTTAATAACTACCCTCGATGAATTGGATATACTCCTCGATTGAGTATTCGAGAGGCGATAAGTTATAGATATAACAATGATCGACTGAAATATATCAACAAGTGGAAAGTAGCAATGTCAAGTTCTTTTTATTTTTGAATTAAATCTCATATAAGTCGTTCATCTTCGTGTTTGAATTAATTAAATCACTCAATCAAAAAAAACCCTTTATCTACTAGTTTTATAAAAAGAGAATTATTCCTTTCCCTGTGGATACGAACTCTACTACGCTATACTACGTATAAGTGTTAGTATTGAATTTATTTTGACGCACCGTGACAAAGTGCCCGTCAATGCTAGTTTGTTTAGGAGTATTGTTGGATCTCTCAGGTTTATTTGCAATACTAGACCTGATATTTCCTTTAGTGTAGGACTTATCAGTAGGTTTATGCAACAACCTAAGCAATCACACTTTACTGCTGCTAAGAGAATACTCAGGTATCTAAAGGGTACAAGTGAGTATGGACTGTGGTTTCCGAATACAGTGACATCTGAAGAAGAGAAAGGCTTGGTGGGTTTTTCTGACTCAGATTGGAAGGGGGATACTGTGGAAAGAAAGAGCACCACAGGTTATGTGTTCAAACTGAATGGAGCAACAGTTTCATGGAGTTCAAGAAAACAGCCCGGAGTGTCATTATCAACTTGTGAGGCTGAATATGTTGCAACAACTTATGCAGCTTGTCAAGGAGTGTGGCTAAGTGCTTTGCTTGGTGAAATTCTTGGTGCAAAGCAGGATGTTTTTCAACTATCGGTTGATAACAAATCTGCAATTAACCTTGCCCAAAATCCGGTTTCACATGGAAGAAATAAGCACATAGAGTCAAAATATCATTGGCTAAGGGAGAAAGTAAGTGAAGGAAGACTAGTTTTAGTTTACTGCAAAAGTAAAGAACAAGTATATGATATTTTAACCAAGCCATTGCCTCTTGACAAGTTCAGAAGATTCAGAGAAGAGCTTGGAGTCATAGCTCCAGTTTCTTAATGAGGAATTTTGAATTAAGGGAGAGTGTTGTGTTTGTAATTCAATATTATAAAATGTTGATATAATGTGTGAAAGTGTATGTGTTGTAATGTGGACGTGAGTGCTTACTATATATAGTAAGTCACTATGTACGTTAAGTTTGTGTGTGGCCTTCGAGCATAATAAACTTTCTCTTCCTCTCAATTAGTTAATATACGGTTATTTACCCCATCAGTGGCGAGCTCAATCGACATATCAAGACATTTGACACCAAGGAGCTTGTCTTGAGATGGATAATCACGCCATAGCCAAGGGGCAGGTTGTTAATTATACGAGGACGACACTTTGAGGGGCGGTCCAAAATATAATGACGAGAATTTGGCATGGATCTTTGACAAGGATTTACCAAAATACATAGGGGATTCAGTACGGATACATAGGACATGGAGCCGTCAATCAATACGTATCAAATTTGTGCTAATCCCGTTATTTTGTGTACTAACCTTACTAACATAATCCTCAGATCTAATAATGTCAAAGATGGGGATGCCCTTGCAAGATACAACCAACTATACTTGAATACTGTTGTTAACTAAGCTAGCTACTTTCCAATATTGTCGATGAACTCTTTGGTAAAACCTTTGGTAGGAAAAAGCTTAAAATTCGCTTTCTTACACACCACCACTCATTATATTACAGAGCGAGGCACAAGGTTCAGTCTTTGAGATAGACATGCATTATCTTTAATTAACATACTAAAACAAGGGCAATTAAAGGGAAAATAACAAAAGAAAGACTAGAGTATCTCGGAGTACTAATGAAAACCGCCACCGAGAGGAAGTGCAGCCGCCGCCGCCTTGGCCTCCGGAGGAGGAGATGGGAGCATTACGATGGCAAATACACCACTTGCTGCCGACGCAACTGCACCAGCCACAAAGCCAGGCAAATTACCGCCACCAAACATAGCGTCCCACGGTCCAGCCACCACTGACACGAACATCTGTGCCATGACATCAGATTGTCATTCAATGCTATTATTAATTAATTAAAGGGCGGGGGAAGACACACACACACACACACACACATAGAGTTAAGATCAGATACAAAGCATGCTTCCGATACAAAATACAAATTCATCTCATCCGTCCAAAATTACAAGATCAATGGTAACAATTCATTGGGCAACTAACAACCAGCCGTTAGTGGGGGAAGTAATCCCTATTTTTTTCAACTCCACGTGGTTAGGAAGTTTTGAAGAAATTTTAGGACCTTCCACATTAATTTGCATTTTGTAAATTAAGATGACTTTGTATGTGATCCTAAATCTATATATGTGTGTGTGTGTGGGGATCATATATATGTATGCCAGAGAATAAACAGTCACTCAACTGTATTAGTGTTTTTGGAACAATTAAACATGTAAATTTATACATTAGGACAATTATACTATTGAATTACAATAAAGAGTATATTTACGCACTCCACGTTAATCAAAGCTAATGATTTTAATTAATTAATAATTGGAGTATAATTATCTAGATTGATCTAGTATATATGTTTAAATATGGTTGTCTAAATCCAATCTATACATGTATGGTCTAGTTCTGACTATAATCTAGTCTAGCTTGAAATTGAAAACAGATAACTATAAACATGACTTTTTGGGATATTTATAAACTTGTTCCATGTTCACACTCAATTTTTCCATCGCTTTTAATGCGGTCAAAAACTCAATATATTTGTACAGTGAATATCATTTAATAAAGCAGAATACCTTACTAAACAGTCTGTGCTTCTACTTTGTCATCAAACAGCAATCACTCCATGCAATACTCGACACAATTTTCACTATTATTCTGAAATAGTCTCTACGCTTTAATATAGGGCTGATAATGCGTACGTGTGGCAACCTTTTACCTCACCGTAAGCCTTTGCGGGTCATGATGATGATGTTCACACCCAATACCTCTTGCACATAAGATCTCTCGGAATGGGCCGGTCTTATTAACTGGATTAACTAAACTTGCTTAGATAGTAGGATTATTGTGACTGAAAGTGACTTATTCAGTGGAAGTGTCAAATTGTTTAAACATATTTTAAATTGATCTTTAAAAAATTAAATGCTCTCTAAACTGTAAAGTCTTAAAGATATGTTCTCTCGTCATCTTTACTTTAAAAAATCTAGTTATTTTTGGACCTTGAATTAGTCTTAAAGATAAATTCTCTCGTCATCAAACATATCTTTACTTAGGATGTTTTCTTTTGGACTGAAATTTGCTGGTCTGGTCTGGTCTGGTCTGTTTAAGTCTGGTCTGGTCTGGTCTGGTCTGGTCTGGTCTGGTCTGGTAAACGTCTGGTCTCTGTGTATTTTATAACTACAGAAGTCTGGTCTAGTCTGGTCTGGTCTGTTTAAGTCTGGTCTGGTCTGGTCTGGTCTGTTTAAGTCTGGTCTGGTCTGGTCTGGTCTGGTCTGTTTAAGTCTGGTCTGGTCTGGTCTGGGACTGAAAACAGTTCAAAAGAAAACATCCTTACATGCGTCAAATAGGCCTATGCACCGGCCGTATAGGAGTCTCTAAACTAAAAAATGCCCAATTCGCACCCCAAACCGGAAAAAAAAGGTTCAAATTTCATTTTTTACAGGTAAACAACTGGTAATTAAAAAAGGTCCAATTCGCACCCATAAACTATTAAAAGGTGTCAAAATTGCAATAAATCGAAAATAAAAAAATAGTAACAATAAAAAATTAAAAAAATGACTGGTTGTTTACCCGTAAAAATGAAATTAGACCCTTTGACCTTATCTTTATCATCATTCTCATGCAACCATAAAAAAAGACTGAAGATCTTGTCAGTTCAAATTTTATAAGTAAAAGAACTACGCAATAGGAAACAATATCAAATTAATCATATGAAATTAAGAATATTTAGTTATAGAAAAAAAAAAGAATTTAATCAGAAATTACTAAGACAAGCAAAGGAATATAATCGGTAATTGATAATTAAAAAACCGTACTTCTAAAGAAAACTCAACTGACACACATCAACTTCTCTCTTTTTATTACATCAACTAATGAATAATTATATGGTCAATTCTGCAGACTTCGGAATGGAGTGTCGTCCTTTTATAAAAAAAAACCAACAAGCTCAACTAGCAATACAAGAAAACCACTCCTGCCCACCCGGTTAGACTTGTTTATGGAACTAGCAATACAAAAAATAGCTTTTTGCTTTTAAGTGTTAATTTAAGTATAAGTTGTCACTTGGAAATCCCATGTTTTGTTTTTTTAAATCAAAAGGTGGGAAATGTTTTTTAGTGTTTGCAAACAAAGGGTAAGACTAGAACTGATTGTCGTTTGCGTTTTCTAAATTGAATTGGCTAAAACTGAATCTAGAATGGATCTATCCGATTAGTGTTCAGAATGTCTCATTTCCGTTAATCGGAGGTGGCCTGTCCCAAAACTGACTCGAGTCTATCCTAATACTCTCTCCGTTTCTAAAAGAACCTCACACTTTCCTTTTTTGGATGTGCCAAAATAAAAGTCACACTTCCCTTATTTCCTTATTTGGCAAAGAAATCTACATCCAAACAGTGTCAAACAGTGCCAAACAGTGCCAAACAGTGTCCAAACAGTGTCTAAACAGTGTTTTCTACAGTAAAGTCAATTTATTTCCTTAATAATCGTGAAGTCAAACTGTGACTTTCTTTTAGAAACGGAGGGAGTATGATTTGAAGTTGTACTTTTAAAAACGTCAATTAAGCCCCCTTACTTAAAACTTGATCAATCAAACCCTCAAACTATTAAAAAAAGGGCAAATCCTCTTTTTTGACCTGTAATGAAAAAGTTGACCGGTTATTTTGTATAAACACATCATTTTTCAATTTTTCTATTTTTTTTTTCATTTTTTCTTTATTCCTTTTCTTTTTAGTTTTCTCCTTCACCTTTCCTCGTTCCGTTCCAGCAACCCCCGTCCTCCCATCTAGGCCTGTCAATGGGTCGGGTCTAGACCCGGACCCGACCCGAACCCGGTTATTTTTAATGGGTATGGGTCTATGTTTTATTCCGTTTACCCAGACCCGAACCCGGACCCGTTAATATTTTTAATAAATGGGTCGGGTATGTTACATATGATTCCGACCCGTTAAGGACCCGGACCCGTTTATCATTTTTTTATTAATATATATTTCATATACTAATATAGTAATACATACCTAAAACTAGTATCCCATTAATACATATTAAAACAAACTGGGATATTCTATTTTAGTTTTGTTTATTTCACTATCAAAGACATTCAATACGTTTGGATGAAAGTATTGGTTTCTTACGTGAACATCAATTTTTTTTAAAAAAAATAAAGATGTGTTTTACTTATTACTCCGTATTAAGGATGATTGAGATCTAGATGTAGCTAGTTTGTGGAATTGCATTACATTCATGATTCATATACACATTCTGTTTTATATTTGGTGGGTCTAATCTTCCAAAAAAATGGCGGGTCTACCCGACCCAGACCCGAGACCCGTTGGGTCCGGGTCCGGGTCCAAAATTGCAGACCCGACGGGTAAACGGGTCCGGGTCCGGGTCCCTTATTTACTTAGCGGGTCCGGGTCTGGAACACTACATTCCGGCCCGGACCCGACCCATTGACAGGCCTACTCCCATCTTCTTCACTCCATCATTCCACTCCCTCTTCCTTCTCCCAAGTCCCACCTTACCACCGATTATTAACTCCCTTCCCATCATTTAAGAGGAGTCTTCTATTCTTCACCCCATCCACCGGCTTATAGCTCCGGGAGCCATTCAGAGAATCTCGCCGGAAAGTAGCGACCGGGCCAGGTCGTTATATCTCGTTCAGCAAGACAGCAACTCCAACCGAAGGCTCCTTCTTCCGACGGGTTCGGAGCTTCATTCCGGCTATAGACTCTAGTCGGCGGCTAAGAAGAGGAATAGGCGGAGGAAGTACGCCATCGAGGAGCCGAGGAGGGTGAAGTGACGCAAGGAAAAACGAGGAGAGAACTAGGAAGGAGAAGAGAAATAGGAAAGAAAGAAGAAAAGAAAGAAGAAATTTAATTGGCTGAGGGGCAGATCTAGAAGAAGAGAGGCGCAGGTACATGAAAGAAAAAAGGGGGGAAGCCACGTCACTCCCCACATACCCAATCTGACTGGGAACCGGGAGTATACCTCTTAAAAAGACGATTTGATACTTTTTTTAATAGTTTGAGGGTTTGATTGATCAAGTTTTTAGTAGGGGGGCTTAATTGATTTTTTTGAAAAGTTGGGGGGCTTATTTGATAGTTTTCCCTTTAAAAACATTATGTTCTAATAATGTTTTTTGACTTTTGTAGCTAGCTTAGGGTGATTTATGTTGAAAATGAAATATTTTTTATACAACAAATTGATAAAACATAATAAATCGCCAATTCACCACAAAAGATAACAATACTTCAGATTAAACTTTTACGGTGTAATCTCAGAATTTACTCATATATTCTTCTTGTACCATGAAAATTAAAGGGAAAGTTCCCGAAATAGGATTAAAACTGTTTGATAATTCCAAAATAGGACTGACATGTTTTTTATTCTGAAAATAGGAGTAATTACTGTCAAGTTTGGAAAATACTGCCATGTTTGAAGTCTGGTACTGCCAAAACATAACAGTAATTAATCCTATTTTGAGAATAAAATCATAACAGTCCTATTTTGGAATTTTCAAACATTTTAAGTCCTATTTCAGGTAATATCTCAAATGATGTATTCATCTTAATGTGACACAAAACTGAACCTTAATTAACAAATGGCAACTGTCTCCACTGTTATGTCAGATAATAACACCGCACCTAATATATATTAGCGTGTTAATCCGTCGTACTTAACACGTTTATTACACAGTATAGCAGCCACGTTTTTTGAGTGAGTTTCCACCGGACAAAATTAGCCTATCAATACTTTCTCGCGAATTGCAACGTTAATTACGTTGATACTATTCAATGCAAGTGTCGCGTGAGCCAGACAAATTTTTTAATGTTCAATTTTTTGGAGGTATATATATAAGGAAAAATTGAAAATAATAACATCAACTATTGTCGGTCCGTTAACAATAATCTTAACTATTGATTATTTTTGTATAATATCAACTATATGGACCGTCCGCCAATAATGGTCAATGACCAGATATTACCTCCTATATCAAGTGAATTTTAAATATAAATTAAGCTAAAAAATTGAAAGTTAGGATTATTTATAAGGATTACTTGCTATATCTTTTCTCATCCACTTTAGAAACTACATGAATTTATTTATAGGGACCATATTTGGCGGAAAGTCTCTAAAATTGGAATTATTCTGAAATAATCAATAGTTGAGATTATTATAAGCAGAACGTCAATAGTTGGGATTATTACTTTCTATTTTTCCTATATATAATTATGTAAAAAGTTTGGTTCACCTTAAAATATGTTATTTTGAGCTGCAAGGTTCCATTTTAAGGAGAGTCGCCTCATATCTTAATATTTTCGGTTATTAGTCCATATTTAATCGGTGTAAGGTATACTTCAAAACTCATCTGACGATCGCGCACTTTATCTTGATCGTTGTCATTTACTAGTTTACTACCTCCGTTCTTTTTTATTAGTCCTTCTTTCCTTTTTGGGACGTTTTTTTATCTGTCCTCTTTTCCATTTAAGGAAAGTTTTTACTCTAAATATATCTTTATACCCCAACTTTTATTACCATTACCCCTTTCTCTTTCCTACTTTTTCATTTACCCACTACTCATTACACCTTTTACAATATCCCTACTATTTTCCTCTTAAAACCCGTGCCAAAGCCTAGGAGGACTAATATTAAAGAACGGAGGGAGTAATAATCATCATTCTTTTTCAAAAGTTCTTTTTTAAGGCAATGGGGTGAATTTAACACAACCATTGATGAAATAAAATAAAATTCGATATAAAATTAGAGCTAGTAAAAGCTAAGATGTCGGATAAAATGCATAAATGGTACCTTAATTATTGGTATTAAATCTATACCATAACTATATTTAAATATTTCAACTTGAGATTTTATTCAAATTAGCGGCCAAAAAATTCTTCATGGCGATCAAAATTCCACGTGTAGAGTCACCCTATTGTGATCATACGGATAAAAGTAAGGTGAAGTAGACTTTATGCATAGAATTCTGGCCGCCACATGTAATTTTTTTTTTTTACCGCAAATTTCTATAAAAATCTCAATTTGAAACATTTACGTATAGTTAAGGTACTGTTTTGATTCATTTAAGAGCGCGAGTTAAGGTATCAAACCGCAACAATACTAATAGTTAATGTACCATTTATGCATTTGACCCCACGATGACATTCGCTTTTAGAGTCCTGATGGGGTACCCCAATTTGTACCCCAATCTGTACACCGTCTGTGTACACAGACATTTGGACAGAAAGTTCTGCCCTCTTTCAAACGAATTGCCTGTGTACACAGGCAATGCAGCGGGGTGGGTACAAAATGGGGTACATTTTGGGGTACCTATAGAATTTTTGTCGCTTTTAATATACGGAGTAATAATTTGCATGTTGCCTGCCAACAGAATATTTGTAGCCGCCTATATTTCTAAATATTACTGTTAAAAACGAGTACCTGTGGTATGACAATGGCAAGATTCAGGACTCCAAGTGAAAGACCTGTGGCCAAGGTTAAACACCCTTATTAGGAAACGATCCCAGAGTTACGTTGAATTTAATGATCTCTTTTCAAGAAAAATATATTTGTATTTATCAAATAATGCATTAATGTAACATTTATATCATATTTCATTCCAGAACCACTACAAAAAACATGGAATGACAAAGAATTTTTTACAGTAATTCGCCAAAATTCATAGTAGAATTGGTATGAATATTCCAAATCTGTGTGTCGAAAACATTTTACTATTAACTATTTAGCATGAAATCATTGATCAATCTTTATACTGTATTTTTTTTTTTGTAATGAGCAGAACATGAAGAATCACGTTTTAAGTTTTTAACACTTATACCGTTATACGTTACGAAATCTTTGAGCTTATATAGTGACCAATTGCGAGTAGACATTGCAGTTAACATTTAAATCGACTCTAACGATCATATATCTCTGTTTTGTTAGTCATCACCAAATTAATTTACTGAGTTTAATTACGCACTGTACCTTGTCCAGCGCCTGCATTACTTGAGAAAATAGATGCCAAAGCAAATGGAATACTGAAAGTGACCTGCCAAATTAATAAATGGGAAGTTAATATGTGACTGGCTCACTGCTTATATCGATCAGCCTTCTCTGCCATTTTCCCGAAAATTAACGACGAAGGCATCATCAATAAACTGCCTCCATCACATGTAGTTTTGGATAAGTCGATTTGAATGGTCAGCGTTGACTAATGTTGCTGCAAAATACCGAGTATATAGTTCTCCTTCCTACTTACCTGTTTTCATTTATCTCATTTCAAAATGAATGGTATAATTTTTTTTAGAAAGAAATATGTGGTTTGCAATGACATTATTTCATGTTATCATATTCAAATTTCAGTCACAACATTTTACTTTTTCAACCACATTTTTAGTAATTGTATCAAATCAAAGTAGGCCAGGAGACATAAAATGGGATTAGAACATTTCAAACATGGTATCAATCCCACCGTATATTGTTTTTTGTTGGTAACAGAAAAATTAATTAGAACAGGAAATTTAAATGAGTTTTTGTAGTGGAATAGTGTATCTAGCTAGTTTACATCCTTGATAAAATTTATTAAATTTAGATTTGAATGTAGGACGTACTAATTCATAGAATATATACCCTATTTAATATCTGTATATGTGTGTTTCTGTGTGATAGAGGAGATGCTTCTCTTGTGATCCTAAATGATACTCCGTCTGATATACTACGTATGTTTCTATATATGGGCAACGATATTTAAGAAATTATAAAAAGAGGAATTATTTTATGATAGAAAAGAAAATAGGTCAGATTTCGTAGAAGAGATATTGTAAACAGTATGTAGGAGTATATATTTTCTTAAGTTTTTTATTAGTTTTTATAATTTTATTATTAATTAAAATATTTCAAAAGCTACAAGGGTATATTTGTCCAAACACACATAAATAGTCCTACCGGAGGAATTTAAAAGATACAATCTTATTTGTGCTTTTTAATTTGTCTACTTTTTGTCCTATAATTCACTCTTAATACTTTGGCCAATAATGAAATTTTATGTTGTGTGGTCTAATTCCCACTTTCATTTAGGCCTGCGACCGATTCGGTTCTTATATGAAATTAGTGGAACCGTTACAAAAAACTTAAATAAGAAATTGGTTCGGTTCCTATCTAAAATTTCAAGAACCGTTATGGAACCGAACCAATAGTAAACGGTTCGATTCTTACTTTTATCGGTTCTTAAACATAATTTTGTTCCATAAACAATTTACTTTCCACAACCCAAAAATGTCGAAAATTCAAAACACATGCAATAGGTATTTTTTAAAGCTCTTATCACTTCAAACATCAAGTCCAAAAAACTTAATTTATTCAACACTAAATAGAATGAAATAATTTATGAGTTTTTTTGTAAATAAAATATGAAAATCGTTGTTGTTTGATATCAATAAAAGTTGGGTCATCATAGTAGAATAAGATGTCTAGTTCAAGTCCCTCAAAACGTTAAAAAAAACATGTTGAATATGCAAGTATAAATATAATCATTAGATTCCATATCCTATGAGCATTGTTTACACTAAATCTCACAATTACAATCATCTTGAATATTATAAAGAAAAAATATATCAAACTAACATGAAATAATTTGGTTTACTTTTATAATTATGAAATTTCCGTGATAGAACCAAATATGATTTGTACAAAACGAGGCTAATCTATTCATCCTCATCCGCTTCCATCAATTAATTAAATTTAAATTGTTGAGTGATTAAATGGCATCAATTATATTATTATTACTATTTTGTTAATATAATTATTGTTATGTTTAATATTAATATTATAACTATTTTTATTATTATTACTATTATTATTATTGATACTCTCAATTTTTTATTTTTTTAGTAACCCTTCCTTAACGGTTTCGTAGACATCAGGAATTGAACCGCTAATAAAGAATAAGAACTAAACTGTTAACAATTTATAACTCATGTATAGAAATTGAACCGGATTTTAACGATTCGATTCCAACGGTTTTCCCAATTCCTTTCGGCGTTGGACATGTATGGTTGTTTATTAATTTCATGAGGAGCGATAATCAGAAATTTACGATGTTGCAGTTTTCCATTTTCGGTTACTTTTTTTATTTATACTACTTCCGTCCCAAATTGATTTGAAAATTGACTTTTTTTTGTCAAACAATTTCATTTTGTTTGCTTAATTAGGATGTCAATTTTTAATTATAATCTAATTTGGAGTTTACAACTTTGAAGAGATGTTAATGTAGTTTCTGAATTTATAAACTTTAATTATTAAAAATTAAATTAATTATCAATACGAAGCATTGACTTTTATTATTGGTTGAACTAAAAATATTGACTTTACAACACAATTTGGGACGGAAGGAGTAAATTTTGCTTTTGTAAGCAGGTGTTCTTGTACAAATGATTTGCGACTATCTGCTTTTACGATACAACGACGGCGTATATGATAAGATGTTATCGGGGCCACCATGACACTAACTAACTAATTAAGGTTTCAATTTCCCACGTGTCATTCATTAATCCCCAAATGACAACAGTAAGCGCTGCCTTCTGAAATAATTCATCTTGATACTCCCTCTGTCCTCTTTTAAATGTCCCGTTTTAACATATTGGGATGTCCCTATTTAATTGTCTCATACCTTATTTGGTAAAGTTTGTGTGGCTCAAAATCATTCTTACTTTATTCTTACTTTATCAATTAGTTATCAACCACACAAACTCACTTTTCTTAAAACTCGTGTCACCCTCTTCCGGGACATTTAAAAGGGAACGGAGGGAGTATATGATTTTATTAATTATTAATTTACTGGTGTCTTCTAATCCATTGTGCCGAAGATATAACACGTCCGTCCCATTTTAGATCTCGGTTTGACACAAGTATTAATAATGAAATAGTGTGAATTATATTAAAATGTTCTCGTATATGCGTTGTTTAGAAGAGGCTGTTTTTTTTTAAAGTGAAGAGGCTGTGTTTTAATTGACAGTACTCGTTCATTTTAAGATAAAGCATAAATCAAGCACTTTTTCCCTTATAAAATGATGGTTGACCATCTAAGTTGTACCACCCTTCTCCCGCAACTTTTTTTTTTACTCCGGGGCTGGGAGGGGGCTGGGGGCCTTAAGTAATATGAGCTGAAAGTCACTTCATCGAGTTTCGAATCCGAGATCTCCCGTAAGGGAGAGAGTCGGCGACCATGTCAAAGACCACTCTACCTTTAAAGCGATAAAGATTTTTAGCATAAGTGAACAAACACACATAAACGTATATAGTTTATAAATAAGTACGTGTGTCGATGTGTGTGATGTTTTTTTTTATTATCTAACTTCATTCCTTCTTTGGACTGTCATCTTCAATTCACAAACTTACTAATCAACTAACTAATACTTTGCATTTACTAAAATTGAAGTACTTCGGAAAAGATCGGAGTGAAAATGAGTGAGCATGGGAGTTATATAATCCAAAATAGGCAAATTCAAATAATGGGTGTAAAAAAATGCAAAAACTTAACCATAACTATATGGGACCCCTTACTGAACGAGGTAAGAGTCAGATTGGTACTCGAACTTGCATAAAAAGGGTCCAATAAGTCCTTATTGTCCGGCCGTCGCCATTTGAGGCGGTTCCCGGTGGAATTTTTTGAAGAATTTTTTTGAACATCTTATTCATTAAATCTAGTTTACTCATACCAAATTTCAGCTAAAACTTCAATCAGGAAGGCATTCAAATGAATTATTGAAGATAACTGCGCTTTTAACTGCATAGTTATCTTCAAGAATTCATTTGAATGACTTCCCGATTGAATTTTTAGCTGAAATTTGGTATCAGTAAACTAGACTTAATGAATAAGATGCTCAAAAAAATCGTCAGAAAATTCCAACGGGAACCGCCCCAAATGGCGATGGCCGGACAGAGCCTCCTATATAAGGACTTATTCGACCCTTTTTATGCAACTTCGAGTACCAATCTGATTCTTACCTCCTTACTGTACTAAGCTTTGAATAAACAGACTACGACATGCAAGATCAATGTGATAAGATCACAAAGAAATTGTTCTATGTTTATTAATTATGGAGTACGGAGTATTAGACATTTTGCCAATATAAAGTCTCACAAACACTAATAGTATATTCTCAGTGGAGGACCTAGGGGGTCGTAGGGGGCAAGTGCCCCTGCTTCCGATCGACCCCGAAATTTAGCATTTGTACTTATGATATAAACACTGCCCCCGCTTCTTGATATAAAACTATGACTATTAAATATGTAATGATTCTGTCAAAGAGCATATGTAAATTGTTGTAAGATATTTAAATGACTACAGAGTTATGATGAAGCGATTTCATACAATTAAACAAGTTCTTAACACGGTCATTCTTTGAAAAGTAGTATTGGTGGTTATATTTTGTGAAGTACGAATTATCTTTTTCTAAAATTAGAAGTCAATGATATGACGAGACTTCTAATATGTGTGGTGAGTTTAATGGATTTAAGATTAAATTAAATGAAATTCCATACTCAAGAAATATTAATTGTTTTCTTACCAATTACAATTAGTTATTGTGGCTATTGCACAAAAAAAGTTTGTGGATACTTTCTTTGCATATTTCTCCATGGTTAGTTATGATACTAAAATGTTGGGATCCTCTTGTAAAATAAGGGGTGTAGACCGACAAAAACAACATGATACCATAAGAGAGTTATTTGAAAAGGGTGTATAGTAACAAACGGGAGGTGACTGAGTCAAGAAATTAAAGTAGTTTGGCTTGGCCGGGAATTGCATGTTAGGGTTCACAACTTGATCTCAAGTTGATGAATAAATTTTGGACAATGTAATTCTCACGTTTGACACTATCCTAGTTCTAAATCAAAATTCTGACCATTTGCAGTTCAAAAACAACTTGACTTCTAATCCAAAACCGGAAATGGTGTTAGGATGATTCAGCTCTCATTAATAAGAAGTATTATCTTTTTTCTTCTTCAAGAAACTGAATATTATTATTTAGAGTTATTTTAATGTGTTGAAAACTGAAATTGAAAACCTTGTTTTTGTTTTAAAAAATTGTCTACACATTGGATAGATTAATCTCACACCCGACCCGACCCGTCTCCATCCGTACAGTAGTGCACCCGCTTCAGAAAAGTTCTAGGTCCGCCACTGTATATACTCCCTCCGTCCCAATAAGATTGAGACAATTCAGTTTACGATGTTTGGCCGACGATAAAGCAAACAAATCCCTATCTGCTCTCAAATTATTTTTAGAAAAAAAAATTACATATTCAGAAACTACATGAAAAGCTTAACAAAGGCGCAAAAACCTGAAATCAAATTTGATAAAGTAAAAGAATAAGAGTGATTTGTGTTGATCAAATGAATAGTGTCTAAGACAATCTTAAAGGGACAGAGGGAGTACTTCTTTTCCAAAAAAGGTTTGAAATATTATTTGACCCCGGTGACTCTATAAGGTACGGTAAACCTAAAGATAATCATACTCACCTGAAGTTGCTAATATGGTTCACATTGTATGAGTGATCACATTTTTTGTTCATCGTCTACTTTATTTAATTTTAATCATTTTTGTGTCCTTGTTTCTAAATTTTATTAACAACTTTACAAAAGTGATGGTATTTGTACACTTTGTTAATGTTTTAGTCTCAATGAAAATAAAGAAGAAAACTTACGGCTTGAGGAATTCCGAGAACTGAAAAGATGATGAAAGCTCCAGCTTTAATGCCACCGGTAGGCCCAAGGGGTCGGCCGTGAACGTCGTGCCTCTCCGACTTCTTCGCCAGTTTGGTTACCAAAACCGTCATCCCCAAGCATATAGCCAAAATGAAGTTCCCGCCGGCCCACAGCTTGTTGACCCGGCCGACTCGGCGAGCCAGAAGCTCCAACCCGAGCGACATGAAGCCGAGAACGATGGAGTTGAGCAAGAGGCCGAGGGAGCCGGCGTGCACTCCGCGATCGTACAGGCCGCCGTCACCGACCTTTCCGCCGTACACCTCCTTCGCCATCCAATCAGTGTCGTACAACAAGAACGGGTTGGGGTTGCCAAAACACGGGGCTTTATCTAGGGTTTACCAAAAAACGGGAGTCGGAATTCCCAATTCCGACTGGGTTTCGAAAAGCAAAAAAATCCCCCCTAGTCGGATTACCCAATTCCGACTAGGGAAAAAATATTTTTTTTTGAATTTTGTTTTTCATTTCTAATTAGAAAGTGTTCGAAATTTAAAAAGGAAAATCCCCCCTAGTCGGATTACCCAATTCCGACTAGGGAAAAAATATTTTTTTTTTTGAATTTTGTTTTTCATTTCTAATTAGTTAGGGTTCGAAATTAAAAAGGAAAAAATATTTTTTTTTTTGAATTTTGTTTTTCATTTCTAATTAGAAAGTGTTCGAAATTTAAAAAGGAAAATCCCCCCTAGTCGGATTACCCAATTCCGACTAGGGAAAAAATATATTTTTTTTTTGAATTTTGTTTTTCATTTCTAATTAGTTTGGGTTCGAAATTTAAAAAGGAAAAAATAATTTTTTTTTTGAATTTTGTTTTTTATTTTGAGTTCCAAAAAAAAAATAACAGCGTTAGGGCTAAATTATATCAATTCCAAATTTAAAATTTTATTTAGATTCATGACATATTTTTTAAAATGAAAACTTAGCATTATGATTTTTTTAGTAAGAAAACAATTGATTGCTTTAAATTGTTTTTTAATCCATTAGTATTGTGAATTTTGTTTTAATTGCAATTTTTGTAATTTTAAGTGCAATTTTGATTTATTCATTCGTCTAATCAGATAAAATTTCATGTACTACCTGACTCTCAGTCATGCGGTCTAGGTCATCCCGGTACAAACGCCAACTTATCCTATCATACAAGCATATATTATCTGTAGTATAATATATTAAATAATACTAATATTATGCATAATTAGGCTAATTAATAACGGTTCAATTTAATATCTTTATAATAATATTACGCGTACCTAATTACTTATATGTGATTTATATATTACTTATATTAATTATATATTTACGATATTTATTTAGACGGAGATAGTATCACGTCGTTAAAAAAGCTATACATAGATCGCTAACTTATAATTTGTCTTAATTAGGTTTTTTAGGAGTGTAGACGTAGTACATTTAGTAATTTGCAAATTTTTTAATTTAGATTGTTAAATTTGAATTTTAGAGTTAAATTTAGCTATAAAATACTTCAAAGTTAGAGAGAGTGTTTAATTTAGAATTGTCCTTAAATTTTGGTTTTAGGAGTGTAGGAGAAGTTAATTTTGTATTTTGTAATTGCTTTTAATTTAGATTTGTGAAATTGGAATTTTAAGTTAGTGCATATTATACTTAATATTTCCTTTATATTTCTCGCATCCGCCGCATCTACCAAATCAGGGTATGCCCCTCAGTGGTCCAACCATTAGGGGTAAGGATCAGTGGATCGACCTGTGCACTCAGTCGTGTGGTTTCACTCCTCTACAGACTGATATGCGCACGAGTGATATCACTATGAGTGCTGTTACCCGTAACCGGATCCTAGATGACAGTACAGACGAAGAGGTCACCCAACACACCAGGACTCTAATATGGCAATTGCTTGGAGGGTTTTTGTTCCCTGACACGAGTGGGGCAAGAATACGATTGTACTTATTAGAGGTCTTGCAGGGTGACTTGGCTTTAGCCCGTCGCTGGAGTTGGGGTTAACCCCATCTCGGGTACCTCTACCATAACTTGTGCAACGGCGCGATGTGGGAAACCAAACAAGTTGACGGTTGTATGCACTTGTTACAGATTTGGTCGAGGATTTCGATGGTCCGTCCCTCAGCACTTCAGGTCATTCAACATGGCCATCTTCTATATGGGTGCAAGTATGTTGTCAATTACATCTTAATAATTGAGAATGCTTTACATGACGTTACATTTTTTAACTTCATATCGGTAATCAATAAATGTAGGTGGATCGTCCCCAAGTCATATAAGGGATCCCCAAGACATTGCATACGTTTGTACCGGGATGACCTAGACCGCATGACTGAGAGTCAGGTAGTACATGAAATTTTATCTGATTAGACGAATGAATAAATCAAAATTGCACTTAAAATTACAAAAATTGCAATTAAAACAAAATTCACAATACTAATGGATTAAAAAACTATTTAAAGCAATCAATTGTTTTCTTACTAAAAAAATCATAATGCTAAGTTTTCATTTTCAAAAATATGTCATGAATCTAAATAAAATTTTAAATTTGGAATTGATATAATTTAGCCCTAACGCTGTTATTTTTTTTTTGGAACTCAAAATAAAAAACAAAATTCAAAAAAAAAATTATTTTTTCCTTTTTAAATTTCGAACCCAAACTAATTAGAAATGAAAAACAAAATTCAAAAAAAAAATATTTTTTCCCTAGTCGGAATTGGGTAATCCGACTAGGGGGGGATTTTTTCCTTTTTAATTTCGAACCCTAACTAATTAGAAATGAAAAACAAAATTCAAAAAAAAAATATTTTTTCCCTAGTCGGAATTGGGTAATCCGACTAGGGGGGGATTTTCCTTTTTAAATTTCGAACACTTTCTTATTAGAAATGAAAAAAAAAATTCAAAAAAAAATATTTTTTCCCTAGTCGGAATTGGGTAATCCGACTAGGGGGGATTTTTTTGCTTTTCGAAACCCTAACTTGTAGTCGGAATTGGGGAATCCGACTCCCTTTTTTTGGTAACCTAATTGGCACTCCCGCTTTTTGGAATGTCAGACGGGGAAGTCCCGTTTTTTGGTAATTCCTTCCACATTGGCCTCGGGAGGCCCTTAAACGCCCCGAGGAGCTCGCCGAAGAATGGCCTCGCCTTCGCCTCTTTCTCCACCCTCCCTGTGCCGTCGTTGTCGTCGCCGTCACCCTCTTTCTCCGGCAGCTCCTTCTCCGTGACGGTTGCTAAGGACGCCGTTGTTATCGAAAGTAAGAGAGTCACGGAGATAAAGAAGCAGCTCTTGAGGTTTGCACAGTAGACGTCGCAAGCTTCGGTCTTAGTGAACGGAAATATCTTGTAGAGCCGGGAGTATGAGCCGGCGGCGTAGCCCAGAACATTTCCGACCGCCATGAAGAAGGAAAACAAGGCGTTCGCCGTCCTCATTCTCCTCGCCCTCCCGCCGGAGAGATCAGCCAACAACGCTCTACACGGTCCCTGAAAATTGTGCACTCATTTTTAAAACATAACATAGGACTAACATGTTTTCTTTTGGACTGAAATTTGCTTGTGTGGTTTGATCTAATCTAGTCTGGTAAATGTCTGATTTCTGTGTATTTTATAACTATGGAAGTCTGGTCTGATCTGGTTGGATCTGGTCTGGTCTGGCCATCTGGGACTGAAAACAGTCCAAAGAAAACATCCTAAAACATAAACAAAGTACATATATTGGACTATCATTATTTTCTTCATAAAATAGGACTTATTCACTCTTATTAATAGGGAATGTTTATACTTTTAATAGGATCAGATCAAATAAGTCTTATTTCGGAAATAAAATACATATACGTATAGTCCTATTTGTGCATTTTGTGTTAAGCTTTAGTCCTATTTAGGATGTTTTTACTTGGACTGTAATTTGTCTCAGACCAGACCATACTAGATCAGACCAGATCAGACTTGGATAGTTATAAAAAGAGTAAAGGGTCAGTTTGGTCCTTGAAGTTGCAAAAAAGGTGTCAAATAAGTCCTTATATAGAAAATTATGTCCGGACGTGCCATTTGAGGTGGCTCCCGGTGGAATTTTTTGATAAAACTTTTTGAACATCCTATTCATTAAGTCTAGTTTACTCATACCAAATTTCAGCTAAACATTCAATCGGGAAGACATTCAAATGAATTCTTGAAGATAACTGCGCTTTTAACAGCACAATTATTTTCAAGAATTCATTTGAATGTCTTTCCGATTGAATTTTTATCTAAAATTTGATATGAGTAAACTAGACTTAATGAATAAGATGCTCAAAAAATTTCATCAAAAAATTCCACCGGGAGCCACCTCAAATGGCACTTCCGGACAGAATTTTCTATATAAGGACTTATTTGACTCCTTTTTTGCAACTTCGAGGACCAAACTGACCCTTATCCCGTTATAAAAATACAAAAAACCAGACCAGACCAGTTCAGACAAGACTAGACCAGATCAGACCAAACCAGCAATTTACGGTCCAAGTAAAAACATGCGAGCATTTTCTATACAAATGTACTCCTCATTCGGTGCTCACATGTTGTTAATTTAAATTTTATCGATTTAATTACTCCGTATACATTAGAAGTGACTAAAGAGTAGCTGGATAGAGTAAATTTCTTATTCAGAACCCGCTCGATTGAAAATTTCAGTTCTTGTGAATAAGTTCATTCAATTTATGGGGAAAACAACGCTTTGTATTCTGTTTTTATCTAATAAAAGCAAAAAACTTACTCCGTAATTTGACATGTATATTTATGAAATCATTATTTACCAAAAAGGTTCATTCTAAATCTAAGTGGTTATGATACTCTGTAACGTTTTTGGAATATTTTCTGAAATGACATTTATTCGGATCCACCTCAATTAACTAAGTATTAAGATTTCAATGCACGGCGTATATATAGAAAAACATGTTTAAATCAAATTAAAAAAAAAGCCACTTTCATGCAGTGGCGGAGCTAGAAAAACGGCTTAGCGGCGTCGGAAAATCAACTATGTACAAAATGAAAATGATAGATCGTTTTTAATTTAGACAATATCTGAATTGAATGTTTCATTTGTGGTTTAGATAAATAGGGACTCGTAGCAATAAGATAGATTGTCTTTGCTCTGTTTCTGAATCATGTCTGATGAGTAATGTTAATTATATGTTATTTTTAAAATTTGGGAAAATAATCGATATTACTCATCATATTTTGCTTATTTTACGTTTAGATAGTGCTGATTTTACAGAAGTCATAACTTTATAGTCGCAATGAGTTAGAGGCGTCATAATATATCAAAACGAAGATATTTCAAAGCTCTATACTCTCAAACTTTCAGTGGGATCAGCTGACCACCCTGACCCTGGCTCCATCCACCCCAGCGTTCATGTACACCAAGAAGGCAAGAAGGCAAGAAACAATCATGAAAAAGTAGGAATGAGTTTATAAGGTATTCCACAATGTTTGATCGTGCATTTTTATTCCCATCAAGTTTATGAGTGAACAATACTCCGTATTATACGTATATAATAATAAGTAGTACATAGTATATACAAAGACACAACTTTATCAATTCAAATTTGAACAAATGGATCATATATATGGATGAGCTAATTACAAATTTTGAACCGCAAAGATCAACGTATCGGTCGGTGAGAAATTAAACTGATGTCATGGGAAGCTAAATACTTTGATTAACACCTTTAGTATCGTCATGATGGAAAATGGCGTGTCATATACTAAAATTAGTAATGTCGCAAGAAAATACTAAAATTAGTATATAAATAAATAAGTAATTATATACAAACGCATGTATATAAATTTCATGAGATAACAAAGTTTTTGGAAACGTATGTAGTACTACATATTTGTAATTAAAATACAATGTTGGACAAAAATGTGATCTCTTAATATAAGCATTTTAGTTATAGTTGTAACTTTTAGTAATTGATTTTATGTTCAATTTTTACTCTTTAATTACCATGACAAATAACCACAAATAAATATTGTACAAAAACCACAGATAGTGACTAAAACACTTAATTTACACATGTAGATTATATGACTCGTACTACGTATTTGTTTCAATACATATTAGTTAATAATATTTCATAAAAAACCCACAAAAAAAATATTTTTCAAAACCATAATTGACAATAAATTCAATTTGTGAACAATAATGTACACAAATTAGTATGGTTGGTATATGTGGTGGCGAGACATCGTGCTGAACACGATTGTCGATGAGGATATCATAATAGTACGCGGTACGGCGGTAATACTATCACATTACTCTAATTTTGATTTGATCCATTTCTGAACTAAATAAATAAATGAGAAATGACTGAATACGGAGGAGAAAAAATGGCAAAATTTCTAAATAAAAATCCGTGTTTTTTTTCTCAAAATACGAAGAAATTTTTACAAAATTATTGTATAGGTTTTGCAAAAAACAATTTTTTATAGGAGTAATTTCACCATATCTACGTACTCGTATTTGAAGAATAAAAAGTAATAATGTTTTATGGAGCTAGATTTATTTTCGAAATTAATTATGAAGAAAGTTATTAAATACAACTAAAATGTATACAAAATGCATGAATAGAACTGTCATTGTCTAATTTCTTCAAAAAAATTGAACTTATTTAATGTTATTGAAAGTATAGATTTTTCACAATTAAGAATGAATTAATAATATTTTAGAAATAGAAAAAAAAAATGATGATTCAATTTCGGCTCTTTGTGACGGAATTTCAGAGTCATTGGGTTGTTACCTGCAGCATGTTATTTGCTACGTCGAGAATCCAGAAACCGGCAACAAAGACACCAATGGCACGGGGCTTAGCGCCTTTGCCGAGAGGGTCACCTGAGGCATGGCCGATGTCAGCCGCGAAGCCGATGTGGAGCACGGCAGCAGTGACGAGAGCGGCGCCGGCGGCGATGAACGGGCGCCGTCGGCCGAAGCCGATGAGGAGTTGCAGTTGTCGCTGTAGTAGCCGACAAGCGGCTGGACGATCATGCCGGAGATGGGGCCACAGAGCCAGATGAAGGAAGCGAACTTGTGCGGGATCCCCAGGAGCTGGACGTAGGGGGTGAGGAGGGAGAGCTGCAGCGCCCACCCGAATTGGATCCCGGCGGCGATCGCCGCCACCATGATGATCTTCCACCCCGGTGCCTGAGGTGCCGGAGCAGCTCGCTGCACCTCCAGGGCGGACGGCTGCTTTTCCTCACTGGGGTTCACGTTTATCGTCGACCCTTTTTCCATCTTAATTCTCGATTAATTAGTTAGTAGATATCTGGGCTTTCTCTTCTGTGATTTATTTATATATATTGTGAGGATTGAGTTTACAGATATGGATCCAATGCAAGTGGTTGTATATAACCAATTAAAGGAGGCAGTCTAAGGCCGGCCGGATTTTATAGGAAGTCGATCTTGTGGGGCAGTGCTAGGGGCAGCATGCTGTCACACTCAAAACCAGCAGCTTATCTTTGATCTTACTTTGTCACCCCGAAAATCTTTCATTTCTAAGCACTGATCGGGTTTTTATTAGCTAGACGAAAACATTACTGCAGATTTAATACCGATCTTTAACTAGGGGTGAGCGCGGTCCGGAACGGTCCGGTAATGTACCCATGAGGTTTCTAACAGTTCGATACGGTCTGATTCTAAGGTTAGAACCATTCGATACCATGTCATTTCGGAACGGTACGAAACGGTTCGGTACAATGCCAAACACATACCGAAACATTTGGACAAATATTGCAATTAGTATATATCATCACACCGGCCAATTCACATGAAATGTTGATAGAATACAAGAAAATGCATACTAATTAAATACTAGAAAAGATTCAAGAGGTTGACGCATTTTTGTATTTAAATTCACAAATACTCAAATAGTGCAACACAATTAAGTAAAAATATAGCAAAACAACGATACACTAGTATAATATCATCTTTATTAAGTTCATGTATAACACACACATGTATCTATAAAATTGTTGGTCTATAAAATATATGTATTGGTATTGCAAAATATAAAAATCTCAAAGGCATTATTTTTGAACGGTTCGGTCCGATATTTTTCGGTTGTCAAAATCTAGGACTGGTCCCGACTTGTTTGAAACGGACGGTTTCGGTTCGGGATTAAATTCTATAGAACCGTTTAAATACCCGATATTCGGTTCAGTACCATTACGGGCCGGTTCGGTATTGGTTAGGTTTTTATTCCCACCCCTACCTTTAACTATTTTTAGAACATAAAATATGAGCCCGTAGCTAGTTTAATGTATTTGGATCTGCCTTTTTCAACCAACCCGCCTGATATATCTGTACGTTACATTTTTTAGATAGTTTAATTTGAATGGCTACGTCCCACGTAGCACATCTATTACTTCTTCTGGTTTCAAAGACGGTGAAGAGATCGACTTTCTTTTCGGCTGAGCCCAGCCTCAAAGTAACAGGTCACGCACCTGAGTTAGATCGAGGGGATGAGCCGCTTCACACCCTACGATCATCACACTCGATGAAAATATTTACGTATAAGTGTATAACCTTAGAAAATTTGAATATAAAAAGTTAGTTAGTGTATGTCCATATACGTACCTTTCTTCAAACAAAATCCAAAGGTTGAGTCAAATTTTATAGCAGTTTGTTTTGTCTCTTATTTGCCGGAACAAAATCCATCACAAAAATACCTGTTACCAATCTATACCATATCCACGCCAAGTTTTATAGCTATTAAAAAATTGAGCTACTTAAAGTGCCAACAAAATTATATTAAAGTTTAATAATTGTGCCAAATCCGTGCCACAGTTGTGCTAAAAAAGTTTGAATAATCCCTACTGGATGGTCTCTCTTTCTCCCTAGCTCTCTCGCACAGAAGAAAGGCGAGAGAAGAATTTGAATAAGTATGTCAGGGAACACAATCCGCGAAGGGGTAAAGAGAACAACAAGGGAAACAAACGGACAATTCCAACAAGGATAGATTTCATTGCCAGGCGCACATATAGAAAAACATGTTTGAATCAAAATCAAAATACAAGCCACTTTCACGTACAACAAGAAGGCCAGAAACATTCATGAAAAAGTAGGAATGAGTTTATAAGGTATTCCACAATGCTTTTTGGTACATTTTTATTCCCATCCAGTTATGAGTAATTAATACAAAAATAGCTTGAATTATATCAATTTAAATTTCAAGAAATGCATAAGCTAAGTAGAAATTTTGAAATACAAAGATAAGCATATCAGTGAGAGATTGATGGAATCTAAACACTTTAACCAACAACTTTAATATCGTCATGATTGAAAATGACGTGATCGTATACTATAATTAGTACTGTCACAAGAAAAATACTAAAATTAGTATAAATAAGTAAATATACACATGTATAAGGTACCGACTAAATTTTATGAGATAAAAAAGTTTTTTGCGACGGAGATAGCACTACATATTTATCATTAAAATATGATGTTAAACAAAATTGTGACCTCTTAGTTGTAACTTTATAACTATCTACAAGTAAATATACACACAAGCTAAGCATGTATAGTTATTATAATTGTAACTTTGAGTGATCAGTTTTGTGTTCAATTTTTACACTTAAACTACAATGACGAATAACCACAAATAAACATTCTATAAACACCACAAATAGTGATTATTTAAAACACTTAATTTACACAATAGAAATTACTTCAAATAGGACTAAAACTATGGCAAAAAACTCAAAATAGGACTTGCTATGTTTTTTATTCCAAAATAGGACCATAGTGATCCTATTGAAAACATACCCATTTCTTCCTTCCATTCTTACCCCTCCTTTAAATATTAGTAAAAAAATATCTAAAAGTCATAATTAAATGTTTAATTCATAATAAATTCGAAAAAAATTCAATAATTCGTAGAAAAATAATAAAAAAATTTATAAAACAAATTTTGTTAAATGTGTCTCAGTGTAAATTTTAATTTTTTTTTTTTGAACTTTTTACCAATATATAGTTATATACTCCATATATTAATCGTCAAAGTTGTGCATAAAAAAATGTGCAAAGTTGATTGTTGCACTGATTTAAGAAAGGAGAAAGTACTATAAAATAAAAAAGGAACAAATAGAATTACTACTTATGTTTTATTATTAAAAAATTTAGTGCCCTTTAAAGTAATTGTTAAAAAAAATAGTCATATTCAAGAAAATTTAGAGTAATTGTGATGTTACCTGCAGCATGTTACTCCGTATTTGCTACGTCGAGAATCCATAAACCGGCAACAAAGACACCAATGGCACAGGGCTTAGCGCCTTTGCCGAGAGGGTCACCTGACGCATGGCTGATGTCAGCCGCGAAGCCGATGAGGAGCACGGCAGCTGTGACGAGAGCGGCACCGGCGGCGATGAACGGGCGCCGTCGGCCGAAGTGGGAGTTGCAGTTGTCGTTGTAGTAGCCGACAAGCGGATGGACGATCATCCCGAAGATGAGGCCACAGAGCCAGATGAAGGAAACGAACTTGTGTGGGATGCCCAGGAGTTGAACGTATGGGGTGACGATAAGTCCATATTTAGACACGCATTTTATGCGTGTTGGGATTAGCTTTTGATGGTTTTCCTAGCTTTAAGGTGTTGCAAGTCTCAATTTTAGCTCAAGTTATGTTTACCAGGCGTTGGTTCGAGTTTTGTGTCATTTGGAGTCAAAATCAGGATTTTAGAGTTCGGCACCGGCGCTTGAGGAACAATCGGGATGATTTGAGAAGCATTTGAGATTGATTTGAGATCTATGGAGGTCACCGGGAGGTTTACGATGAAGATTTGATGACAAAAGAGATCTAGGATTGGCTACGGGATCAAAAGAAGATGAACGAAGCTTGAAAATGACGATCAGGATGACCTTCTGTCAATTGTTAAAGCATATCTCTTTGTAGAAATATCCAATGTACACGATTCAAGTTCCATATGAAATCTAACTTCAATGGCTACAAAACATATGAAGACACCTTTGCGATAATCTTAGAGGAAAAAGGTGAAAACAGACGATGAAGTCAGATGATCCCAGTTGCGATTTTAGAATGCGACCTTCCCCCGTTTGGATCATATCTCTTGATTGGATGATTCAAATCTCATTCGGAAAGTTGTGGTGGATAGAGGACTTCATTATCTACAACTTTCGTGAAGGAAGCGTCATCAAATTCGGAAGTTAATTAGGCACGATCGTGCCCTCAAAGTTAGGCACGATCGTGCATGAAGAGAAAGAACCGCGGAGCTACTGCCAGGCAGGCACGACCGTGCCATGAGGGAGGCATGACCGTGCCTGCCCAAAACGCGCGATTTTGCTCTGGAGGCATGGTCATGCCTGGCACCGTGCCTGCCTCCGAAAATCCCAATTCAACTCAAATTTGACCCGATTTTTCTATTTAAACAGCATGTAAACCCCCGTTTTGAAGGGGGAGCTTAGAGAGAGTGCCTAGCACGAATTTTAGAAGGCTTTTCAGCCTTATTCATCAATCTTTTGAGATTCTTTGTAAGTTCTATCTTTTTAATTAATGACAATTAATTCTTTTTATTCCAATTCTATTGATTCTTCAATTATGAATTGTGAGTAGTTTTAATTATGGGTTTGGGATTGATGAAGGGGTTAATCATGATTGATGGATAGATTTTTGATGGGTTAATTGCATGAATGCCGTTTAATTTGTGTTTGAATAATTTAATTGATATCTTTAGTAACCTGGAACCGCGGCTAGAATTACAATTGCATGTAGAATAAGTTAAGAGAGATCTAATTTATTCTAGGACACATTCACACACACTTAATCGTTCGCTAAGAGATTAGTAGCGATTAAGGGGCCGTAAGCTCGCTTGTCCTTGCAATAATTTAGGATCCTGTCGCATGAGAAATCAACCTGGTCCCCTAAATTATTGTACTCTACGCCGCGAGAGCGGTAAGAACTTAGTAATGATTAGCTAGACTCAATTGAATCAAATTCATGTAATTAGGCCTGATCTGCCAGAAATCTGATTACCCCAGAATCAATCACTGTTCCTTTCGTCGTTAATTGAGAAGAAAGGAACCTTTTTAATTGCTCAATCGCACTAGTTTAATTTAAATTCACCAATCAATCTCGCACACTTGCATTTTTATGTTATTTATTGTTAATCGCTGAATTTAGTTAATTCTTATTTCCCTTTTATCCGTCCATGTGGAGACGATATTCGTACTTTCAACAACTATTCTACAATCTTTTTAAGTGCGAGAAAACACACATCAGGTGAGGAGGGAGAGCTGCAGTGCCCACCCGAATTGGATCCCCGCGGCGATCGCCGCCACCATCACGATCTTCCACCCCGGTGCTTGACGCGCCGGAGCAGCTCGCTGCACCTACAGGGGGGACGGCTTGTGCCCACTGTTGTTACTGGGGCTCATGTTCGACTCGTTTTCCATCTTAATTCTCGACCATACAGTTACTATATATCTTAGCTTTCTCTTCTGGATATATAGATATGGATGCTATGCAAGTGATTATATATAACCAATTGAAGGAGGCAGTCTAAGGTCGGTCGGCCGAATTTTATAGGAATTCGATCTTATGGGGGCAGTGCTAGGGGCAGCTAACTGGCCTTTAACTATTTTTAGAACATAAAATGTTAGCATGTGGTTAAATGTACTTCGATATGCCTTTTTCAACCAACCCGCCTCATATATTCGTACGTTACATTTTTTAGATAGTTTAATTTTAATGGCTGCGTGCCACGTAGCGCATCTATTACGTCTTCTGGTTTCAAAGACGGTGAAGAGACCGACTTTCTTTTCGGCTGAGCTCAACCTCATAGAGTCATAGTGACAACTCACACACTTGAGTTAGATCGAGGTGATGAGACGCTTCACACCCTACGATCATCACACTCGATGAAAATATTTACGTATAACCTTAATTCAATCTAAAGTAAGTTAAATCCAAAGTTTGTATATAAAAAGTAAGTTCTAAAGTAAGTTATACGTAAATCCAAAATATTTACGTATAACGTACTTGAATATAAAAAGTAAGTTACTGTATGTCGATCTACGTACCTTTCTTCAAACAAAATTCAATGTTTTTGTCAAATTTTATAGCAGTTTGTTTTGTCTCTGATTTGTCGTGACAAAACCCATCACAAAAATACACATTACCAATCCATACCATTAATTATATTTGTGCCAAATTTGTGCCAATTCCGTGCCACAGTTGTGCTAAAAAAAATTAATAATCCCTACTGGATGGTCCCTCTTTCCCTCCCTCTCTCTAGCTCTCTCGCACACAAGAAAAGCGAGAGAAGAATTTGAATAAGTATGCCAGGGAACACAATTCGCCAAGGGGTAAAGAGAACAACAAGGGAAACAAACGGACAAGTCCAACAAGGCTAGAGAATGGGATGCAAATCATGGAATAGGTAGGGCCATAGGGGTGAGCATAGTCCAGACTAAACTAAAAACCTGACCGAATCGAGCATGTTGGTCCAAATCGGACCCAGACTGATTGCATGCCATCCGGTCTTTGGTCCAAGATTTTGAATGTTTAGGTTCTAGTGCCATTTGATCCAAATTCGAAATATTTAGGTCCGAACAAATTGGACCGTAATTAATTAATTATTATCCAAGAAAATTTTAAACAAAATTAATAACTAATTAGATTAGTTTTATTTGAATATTTGTCCAAGAAAAGTTTATGTTTAAATACATTTATAGTCATCAAAGGTAATTTTTATTATAAAAAAGTTACTTTTTTTTAATTTAAATTAAAAATCCAAACTCGGTACAATACCGGTTCAGTCCATACAAATTCAGAATAATCCAGCCCGATTAAATTTTTGCCCGAAATTACATAGGTCAAGTATTTGATCCAATATTTTTTTTATCAGAAATTCAAATTGTGGTCCAACCAATTCCGGTCCAATCTTGGATGGGTGCTCACCCCTAGAATAGACCCAATGGGGCCAATACCTCCAACATGGTAGATATGTCATCACACTGCAGTGATTAACAAACTAGGATGCATAGGTACACATTACATGCCAAAAACCCGTTCACATGGAGTACGCATGATTGATTACTCCAAATCCCAAACTTAATACACTCTTAATTAGTAACTTCCTCATCACTTTGAGGCAGGCATGAAAATGGATGCGAGGACCCAAAACTTAGCCGGGTGGTTCTTCGGGAGTTTATTTAGGTACATAAGAGGCATCATCTTCCGTGTTCTATCCGTAGGTGAGATTCCCCACCACATCGCCTTCATCCTGGATGGAAACAGAAGGTATGCCAACAAAATGAAAATCCCTAATGTCGTAGGCTATAGAGCTGCATTTCTGGCTCTCCTATGCATACTCAGGTCAGTACTTCGTTTATTTTTGTTGTCTTCTTTTTTTAAACCACCAACAGAACTTTTATTACTTTGTTGTGTTCTAATTGTGATTTTTAATCTATTACAATATACGGAGCATATTAAGACTGAATTGAAGATCTATCCTAAAATGTAGTGCTGTATCGTTACACACTTAAGAGTTTATTTCTGCAACTAATAAATTTATCCATATTAAGGACTTTTGTACTAGAATGTACTACTACCTCCGTCCCACTAAGATTATGAAGGAACTTATTAGATGCTAACAAAACTAAATCTACACTAAGTAAAGTTATGTGACAAAAAGAGAACATTAACAAAAGTTACGGGACTAAAACAATAAATCTCCCAACATATTATTATCTTTATGTTTTGCTTGATTTGAAATTAGGAAGTGTAGCATATTTCTTAAAAATTAACCGGTCGAGAGGGAACTCGCTAATATAGGTAAAACCGGAATCCACTGCCGCCTAGCTAAACTAGGATGGGACCCAGAAAGCTTGAAACCCGGAAGTTTAAGTGTTTAACTAAAGCCGATACTTGACAATTGTTTCCTCAAAAATTCAGCCACAAAGGGGTTCTTGGATATGATGATATGTGACAAAAATTCTACACTAAATAAGTTATGTGACAAAAAGAGAATATTGACAAAAGCTACAACACTAAAACAACAAATCTCCCATCATAATATTATCACCTTTACGTTTAGCTTGATTTGAAATTAGGATGGGTATTTAGGGAAAGTCGCTGTGTGAATTTTCACTTGTGTATGAAAATGTGGGAATCAAAGTAAAAACTTGTTTGCCGCATGGAGGGAGTATACAGTTGATCGGAAGAAACTCTTCAACCCCTTTTCACGATCGTATGCATCCTGCAATTACATCTCTCCAGCTATCCGCTATAAAAAAATTGGACTCCGTTAAAACTGTATTTCCATTAATTTCAGGCATTCAACACGATCAATAAAATACACTCAACATATTTTTTACAAATACGTTTAGTAAAACATTAATTAAATTCTTGTAAGTCATGTTTTTGTTTGAACTTTTTTTCGGAACCATTATGAAATTTAAAAAATACACATGTCTATGTTAAAAAATAAAAAAAATCGTTATATTTTATTAGTTTTTTCAGTAAATAAAAAATAAAACAAGTTGAAGTAAAGATCGATTATTTGCTATGTTGTAAGAATCGGATCAGATGGGACTTCAATCCAGAACCTGATAAACTGGTCTTGGAACCCGTCCGGCTCAGAGGGAACTCACGAATATAGGTAAAACCGTGAATTGACTTCTGCCTAGCTAAACTCAGATGGGACCCAGAAAGTTGAAACCCAGAAGTGTAACTAAAGCCAGATGCTTGACAATTTTTCCTAAAAAAATCGGCCACCAGGGGGTTCTTGGATGTGTTTTAATTTATACTTTACTCCTGTAGAATTTTTAGGTTAGCACTATTATAAATTCTACGTACTATAGTTTTATGAGAGTATTTTTAACAAAAAAACATTTTCATATACTTCTATATCTTAAATAATTTCATACTTATAAATATGAGGTCAAACTTTATATCTTTCACCAAGAAAAGTAAGTTTTGTGGATGAATGGAGCATATACTTTGTATAGTTCTTAAAAATATACTCCCTCTGTCCCAAAAAGGTTTGTCAAATTGACTTTTCTTGATCAATGGCAATCAACTTTGACCAATGATATTTTTTAATACGAAAACTATTTTGAATATCAAAATTATATCAAAATGTTCCTTATTCAAAATATTTCATACAAGTATAATTTTTTTAAATTATATACAAATATAATAATTAAAATTATTATCCAAAATTTGTCGTTATTAAGCAAGAAAAGTCAATATGTCAAACCTTTTCGGAACGGAGGTAGTACTACGTATTTTAAGCATTCATATCTTAGACTTTCAGGTACTGCCACGAACTGGGAGTGAAATACGTGACGATATACGCATTCAGCATAGACAACTTTAAGCGGAGACCAGATGAGGTCCAATGTTTGATGGATTTGATGCTGAACAAAGTGGAGGGATTACTGAGGTACGAGGCTGCCCTGAACCAGTACGGAGTGAGAGTCGTCTTCATCGGCAACCTGAGGTTACTGGACAAGCGGCTCAGGGCTTCTGCCGAAATGGCAATGGATGCAACCCGATCCAACTCCAGCATCGTCCTCCTCATCTGCGTCGCCTACACCTCCACAGACGAGATGCTTCACGCAGCCCAAGTGTGCTGCAGAGACAAGAGGGGAAGGTTGAAGGTTTCGGAAGTTCATCACAGACGAAGGCAGCGCAGCGGGGATGGTGGGGCGGTGATGTTGGAGGAGGCGGTGGCGGAGCGTGGTTTTGCGCTGGTCGATCTGGAGAAGCATATGCAGATGGGGTTAGCGCCGGAGGTGGATATTTTGGTGCGAACCTCGGGAGAAACTCGGCTCAGTAACTTTCTGCTGTGGCAGACTTCTAGCTGCCTGTTGTACTCTCCAAGAGCTTTGTTTCCTGAGATTGGTCTCAGGCACTTGGTCTGGGCAGTGTTGAATTTTCAAAGGCTTCAACCTTATTTCCACCACAGAAAGAGCACACTCAACCACAAATATATTAATCCATCAGAGTTAACATCCCTTAATTAGTACAGCAGTACTATATAAATATTGGTTTATGTATAATTAAGCTAAGTTTGAGTTTAAGCAATTTTAGGTAAGCTAAAACTAATTAAAAAAAATTAGATAGTGATTGGGATCACATGCAAGAGCAATATAATATCGAGAATTTACGAATACTTTGATAATAATCGTGAGTAAATTCTGTATTTTGCGCACAGAGGAAGTGTGTATGTTTTTACAATGAGATCGACTTGCTTCTATTTATAATATCATGATCCAAGTTGTCATGTGCACTTTGTCACCTTTCCAACAGATCTGGAAACTCCTTTGTGGTATCTAAAAACGGTTGGGCAGTACAGTATATCTTCACCCTCCAAACCTTTGTTGGGTCATCAGGTGTTACCTTCTATCTTTCCGGACGTTTCTTCCATTCTCCGACGATTTCGGAATTCCTCTTAAAATCTAGGGACAACTCAACTAATCGGCCTTATCACCTTCCCCTTACATAGCTAGAATTGGTCATAAAGATATAAAAAGGTACAAATGGACTAATTAGTGGAAAATTAAATCTCACAATTATAGAATTTACTTGCATAATTAATTCTAATAAATGTAGAATTAATTACCCAAAGATTTGCTCCAAGAATTTGCATGTAGAATTAATTACTCAACTTACATATATGAAAAGCATTACAAGACAACTCTAGTTTTAGTTATTGAACCAAAGATTAATGTTCCACTATAAACATGGATTGAACTAATTAATTACGCCTTCATATATAGAAAATTGTTGTGCCTCTACGGGTTTAGCGGACAAACTTGGTTAGTTATAACACTTGCACAGTGGGAAATTGCACCCCTCAATATTTAATTAAGTTAGTTTTAACATGAAATGTATTGAAGAATGAATGGTGAATCTGTATTTATATACTATTATTGGTTCAAATTCAATTGGGTCGATGTCAATACTTCCGGTCAGAAATGGACTCTTTTTCATAACAAAAAACCTAAAAAAGTGTGAAGACCTTACTCTATTGGGATGGTTAGCTATTCAGTTTATTCAATTTATTCTGTTTTCCCTGTCACAAGTGCAATGTAGACACATCCTCACCTCCCATTAGATTTGTAGGTTCACATCGAAGATGAGACCGGCGAGACTCCTCTTTGATTTTGAAGCTCACTCTTGGTTCATCTTTATCATCAAATTAAAGAAGTACTCCTAAAACACAGAGTTTAATGTACTAAACCCTCCCATTATTTATAAATTCAGGGAATTAGCCCTTATGATTTAAAAAATGCGTCAAACCCCACCTCCAAGCACAAATCTTACAATTTTGAAATCACTTGTCTTAATAATATGATTGAATCAGAATTTACTAAAGTAGAAATAAAATAGAAATGTGTGGTTGTGGTTGCGTAAGAAAAGATGAATCAATGATAGTCACACAAAACTTTCCAAAAAGGAAAATGGGAAGAACTTTTTGGGACATCCCAAAAAGGTGAGTGAATTGTTTTAATGAGAATTTATGGGACGGAAGGAGTAATAAATCTCTTTTATTTAGCAATTAAATTTGATCATAAAGAGTTTTTGCGCATGAATAACTATAACGCAAATGAGTTTGACGCATTTTTTAAATCACATAGGCTTATGCGCAGAATTTAAGAGGCTTAGTGCATTTAAACCCCTAAAACACAAGTACTCCTATTTGTGCATTTTGTGTATGTTTTAATCCTATTGAGAACAATTTATTGCGTAAGATAATTCCTTGGAGTACAGGATTGATCCGGCTAATTTGGATTAAATTAGGTAATATCATGGTGTTTAAAAACAAATTAAAATCATACTATATGAGTGATGGATGAGTAGAGTGAAATGAATCTCTACTTCTTTCCTGGCAATAACCGCCCCCATGGAAAGAGCATGCATGGCATCAATTCTGTACGTTCTAGCTGCTACGCCCAAATTAAAACTCCGATCCGAGTACAGCTAGCAGCTGCATAATAATTAAGCACCCAATTCCCTTAAGACATCGATCGATCATATATATCATATGGCCAAAACCCAAAAGCTGGCAGCAGCAGCAGCAGGGTGGCTCTTCGGGAGCATTTTCAGGTTCCTCAGAAGGTTTGTGTTCCTCATTCTATCTGCGGGAGTCATTCCCAAACACATCGCCTTCATTCTTGACGGAAACCGACGGTACGCCAAGAAACACAAACTCTTAAACGAGACAGGTTACAGAGCCGGCTTTCTCGCTCTCATCTGCCTACTCAAGTACTGCCACGAACTAGGCATCAACTATGTCTCGCTCTTCATCTTCAGCATCGACAACTTCAGCCGGACGGCCGAGGAAGTCCAGTTCCTGATGGACTTGATGTCCACCAAAGTCGAAGGCCTGCTCAAGTACCAGGATGTCCTGAACCAATACGGAGTCCGGGTGCAGTTCATTGGGAACCTTAACTTAATCGACAGACGGCTTAGGGTCGCCGCCGAGGCCGCCATGCACGCAACCTGCGCAAATTCCAACATCGTCCTCATCGTCTGCTTGGCCTATGCTTCTTCTGCTGAGATAGTCCGTGCGGCTCAGCAGTGCTGCATGGCGAAGAGAGAAGAGTTGATGCAGGTAAACTCCTTGGAGGTGGCCCCCGCGGGGATTGTGACGGTGGCGGACATGGAGACGAATATGTACACGGCGGGCTTGGGCCCGGATCCTGATATCGTGGTTCGGACTGCAGGGGCCAACAGGCTAAGTAATTTTCTGATGTGGCAAACTTCTAACACCATGTTGTATTCCACAGGGGCATTGTTTCCGGAGATTGGGCTAAGGCACTTGGTGTGGGCAGTCTTGACTTTCCAAAGAGCTCACCCTTATTTGCAGAAGAGAGTCATTCTATCATAAAACCAAATCCTTCATATATCGTTATAGAATATAATCGATCTACACAAAGATTTTTTCTTCAAAATAACAATATGATTACAATATCATCGGTCATTAAGTTTAGGGGTGCAATAATTGATAGAGATTTTTAAAGAGAAAATTATTACTCATATTCAGTGACCGAACCAGCTCGAGAACTCTGGAGGGGTACATAATGGTAAAGGGAAGGTCTCCGGCAAGGCAGGCGGCTTCCGGCAATAGATACTTAAATAACTTTTCTTGGTTTTTTATAAATAGCTAATATACATAATACAGACAGCTAAAGACTCTGAAGTCTGGGGGAAATTAAATACACACTTCACATTTTAACAATGCATCGTGGTATTTTTTCTTCAATTTATTTTTACGATTGTAACCAGCCAAGCGAAAGTACACCTTTCGCAACTGACAACAACAACTTCAGACACTGAAGTCCTGCCCGCCTTAACCCGCAATTGAAGATGAATCCATGAAAAATCCAGGAATTGGTGTCAACAATGTCATCATATATCTGACAATTCAACTTCTATTTGAGGGTTTTTAACCTTATTTTCAGTGTTAGGATGACATTTTGTGATGCAGAAATTAAGTTATTTAAAGAAGAACCATCCATGCTCGGACCTTTACTACCTTTAGGAATCGGTGTATAAAATTTTAACATGGAGAATTTTTGTCAAACTACCTAGAAAGACTACCATTGAAGTAATACAAGTATAATTGTAAAATTTGCACAGTAAGAAACGAAATAAACAAATCCAGAATTAAAGTACAATTAACAATTTATTAAATGAAAATAGAATTGCACATAAAATTAACAATTTATAAAAAGAGGGAAAAATTCTGGGATTGAAGGTTACAGCAGGGCTTACCTGCAAGATGGATATGGGACTTGGGAGTAAGTCGGAAGAAGGGCCGAACTGCCGAAGGGGTAGTCGCCGACTCGCCGTTGGCAAGTTGCTCACTTGGCTGTTGCTGCGCAGAGATGGCTTCCCAACTCCCGCTTCTGTCTAGTGGGCTTAGGCTGGTCTGGGCTGCAGGGGCTTGGTTACATATTTATTAAGAATTTTTACAACTTTTAGTCCTCCCACTATAATGCCAATGATTATTGTGTTAAAGACACATTTGACACTCGTTTTTTAAAATTTCTATATTTAGTCCTTCAATTTTCATAAAATTGATATTTGCATTTCTTCAACTACTATAATAGTGATAATCTGTATCCCCACTTATTGTGTCAAACTCATAGTAGAAGGATTAAAAATATCAAATTGATAATAATACTAAGAGGACTAAATGTCTAAATGTGGGAAACTTTGATGTCGAGGAATAAAAGTGTCTCTAATAATTGAGTACTAGAAATGCAAAAAAATGAAAAGTCGAGTATAATAGTAGGGGAACCGAAAGTTAAAAAAAGAAAGAATTGCCGGTCTATGACTTTTGACTTTTCAAATTCTAAAAATATACTCCGTAACCCTTTTTCTTTTTCCAAAAATGTGATTCAGACTTCTCTCCCCCACGTCTCTCTCCGCACAGACGCACATCACAAGCCGAGACTTTTCTCTGCCGCCATAAACCACCGGCCATGGCGTGGTCTTCCTTTATTTCTGCATGAGGTTGATGCGCCTCTTCTCTCCGCACGGCCATGGCGCCTTCTCTCCGCCGGTCCGCCTGCCTGAGCCTCGCTGTCCCTCTGCCGCATCTCCGCCGATCCGCCTCTCTGAAGAAGGACGACGAACCTCGAGCTAAGGATTTGCCTCGCCGATCTTCCTTTATTCTTCTTCTCTCC